TACTCTCTTTAAACCACCACTGAGTGTTTGTAATAACTTACGATTGTGATCTAATGTGGGTTTTGGTCATATAATGTTGCTGAAATATGTGATTTGTAGCCTTTTATATCAAGCTAATCACCACACCTGCTTAACATTTCTCATGTAAACACCCTATTGTTATGAAAATAGGCAGAATCTCATGAAAATCACACATAAATCATATACTGTCATAATCATGTGTTATTAGCTTCATGTTTCATCCGTAGAAATGTTTTCCTGGGTTTTCTATGTACAGAACTGAACACGGAAGTGTAATGGACGTTCGTCATAGGAGACAGGGCGGGTGATGAACGCGTAATATGAGTGACATATGAGTCAGAACAGTGATCGCGGAAGAGAAAACGCAGGGAGACTGCTGGAAGCAGCTAATCAGATCAGATCGCGTAAATCGGTGTAAAATTTATAGAAATGATGATTCTGTCTAAGCTATGCGTTTTAAAACAAAAGACTCAGGAGATGAGTCTTTGAGTCTGTAAAAACGTCAACAAACTGAAAAAAATAAAACCGTTTTTTGTAATGTTGTTAAAGCGAACTTCATAAAATTAGTATAGAAAAAAGTATCGTTCAGGAACCGGTATAGAAGTCAAGGTATCGGTACCGATATTGAGAAGTTTTGAACGATACCCAGCCCTACTGATTTTCAAATACTTTTTTTTTATTTTTTTTTTTTTATAGTTGTGATTCACCTCGTAGCTGGCCGATATATAATGCTTTAGCAAAGACATTTTAAAACTCCCTATTAGAAAAATACTTCCAGAGAAAAGTGGGCGGGCTGGGCAGTAATGCACTCTATGTAAACACATTAAAAATAAAGCTAAAATCTCACTGACTTGTGGCTTCTGGCATATTGCAAGCCTTAACAACCACTGTGTTCATTGTAAGTCTGTCTTGAAAGGTTTATAGGAAGAACGTTTTGTAGTAGTTTACAGTAGAAGTAGAAAGATGTGTCGGGTATGCAGCTATTTGCGCATTACAGTAGACAGATGAACTGAATATGTGAATGAATTGCTCAGGGCATGTTGATAATCTTATCATGGCTGTAGCTCGATTCCTAAATCCTAGGAGATTAAGCAGGTGTTTAGTACTGAAAAGCGCTAAACACAAAATATTTCTCTCTCTCTTTTGGTTCAGTTTGTTTTTGGAAGCGAAAAGTGTGGTTAGCTTGTTTTCATTAGAGATACTGTTTTGATAGTTAAGCCCAAATTGTTCTCATTGGTTTCGGCTATGCATGCTAATGTTAACATTTGAACATTCAACAAACCCAAGGTCTGGTAAGCATTCCTTTCACAATGAGACCACAGCAAAATCCTTGCCAGTAAAACGAACACCGTTTCAGCAAATGACAACAATGAATCCTCACAGACTTGGATGTTAAAGTTCACAGACTCACTTCACACAACTTCCTTAACCTACAGTGCAAAACGAGCAATAACTTACAGTGTAGATAACTTCCAGAGCGATAACTTGCTATCTTTATGTAGATAGTTCCTCCAATAATACCAGTTCTCTGTAATGCCTGCTGGAAAGAACACAATAAAATGTTGTTGGAACTAAAATGTCATAGAGGCTTAAGTAACCATCTAGCAGCCACCTAGAAAACTCTAGCATTATAAAAATGTTGTTGTCCGATTCTAAGTTCTGTCGTTTGACCTTGTTTTCTCTTAGTGACCTCATCACTTTTCATGTGCGTGTGCGACATTCACTGTAATCAGGGGTCACATTAATTCATGCAAATATCTAAAAAACGAGCAGTCCCTTGAGGCTGACCTCACGTCTTTTTATTTAAGTGTGGGAAAAACAAAGGCAGGAGTCTCTAGTGAATAAATAGCCCAGTACAGGCTCCTTGGAATTGCTTTCACCACACACACACACACACACAAACTTGGACACGTGTACTTTTGAGGACCTTCCGTTGACTTCCTTTTACTTAAAGAGGTAGTTCAGACAAAAATTAAAATTGTATCAGTGGACCCCATTGACTTTCATTGTATAAAAAACATATAGAAAACAAATAATTTTCAAAATACTTTGTGTGTGTGTGTGTGTGTGTGTGTGTGTGTGTGTGTTTCACATTAATACACTGTGCCTAACCCGAAAAGCATGGGGTCGGGTTTATTTTATTTTAAGAAATGAGACGTTTTATGCAGTAAGGACACATTAAATGGATTGAAAGTGACAGTGAAGACATTTAAAATGTTACAAAAGTATTTTTTAAGCTTTCTGTTCATCATAGAATCCTGAAATAAAGTATCACAGTCTCCACATATAACTGTTTTCATCATTGATGATAATTATAAGAAATGCTACTTTATATTATTGATGATACATTGCATAAAAAATAGAAATAGAATAGAAATGCCTATTAGCAATATTACTATTTTACTGTATTTTTAGTCAAATAAATGCAGTCGTGGTGTACGTATGAAGAAAAATCATTTTTAACGACCCTAAATGTTTGAACAGTAGTTTAGTAATTTAATGAGTAAATGATGACAGAATTTTACTTTTTGGGCGAACTAGACTTTTTAGTTTGATTTAATTGTGAAAGCTTGACACCTTAACACAACATTTTAAGATTTTTTTTTCTAGCTTGTGGCCCATATTTAAACCTTATTTGCTAGTGTGGACTGCCCTTATATCTAGTTTTGAGCTTTTTTTTGCAATATTTCCAAAATTCCAAGGACATTTTGTGAATTTAGGCCCTCAAACTTGTAAGGAAACATGTAATGAAACATTTTAGTCCAAATTTTTGTTGTTGTTGTAATAATGCTTGTCATCTCTCTTCCTTGTTCTGTTCCACTTCTGTACTTGTTGGTCAATCTGGTCTGAGTCTGTGTAATCCAGTAAAGTTGTAATACATTCTACCACATAAACCTGCACAATGACTTCCAGGCTCATTTCCCCGCTAAATGCTACATGATTCATGTTTAATCCTCCAGCTTTGAGGCTGTGAGACTCCATTAGGATAAAGAACATTTCCTGTTCCTCTCAAATGCATTGGTCCATGAAGAATCCTTTAGGTCCTTTTTTTTCTTTTTTCTTTTGACTGATGGGCATAAGATGACAAATAATTAGTCAAGCCATTTTTCTGCCATTTTCAGCCATTTACTCTGGTCATCTTCATGTGCTCCACATAATACCCAGAGACACCGTCTCTAGGGTACTTATCTATCTTCCCAGTGTGCTTTTATTCTAATTCCCTGCTTATTTTCTAAAATGGATCCATCAAACATGAACGCTGGCTGGGAAGAGAAGAGTGTCAATATTTCATGAATGAGGGAAGATGTATAGAGTGATGACGTCAGCAGGGATAGAATTACCCCCTGCCTCTGCTTCTTTCTTCTAACCGAGACTCTTTTTGGTTCTACAAATGGAATGTTTTACTGTAGACGTGTTTTTAAAATCAACCTGATGTCAAAATTGACACTATTTAAGTTTTAATACCATTCCTGGTTTTATCGTTAACTATTCATTAGCGCACATTATTCCAAAAAATGTTTTTCAAAATTGTCTTCGTAATTTTGC